AAGTTGGATTCATTCCAGGGACACAAGGATGGTTTAACATCCGAAAATCAATCAACGTTATCCAACACATCAACAAAAAGAAATATAAAAACCATATGATAATATCAATAGATGCTGAGAAAGCTTTCAACAAAGTGCAACACCCATTCATGATAAAAGCCCTTGAAATTCTTGGGATACAAGGAACATACCTCAACATCATAAAGGCCATCTATGACAAGCAAACAGCCAGTATCATTCTCAATGGTGAAAAGCTGAAAGCAATTCCATTAAGATCTGGAACAAGACAAGGATGTCCACTCTCACCACTGCTTTTCAATATAATACTGGAAGTCCTAGCCAGAGCAATAAGACAAGAGAAAGACATCCAAGGAATCCACATAGGAAAAGAAGAAGTCAAACTATCACTATTTGCAGATGATATGATAATATACATAGAGAACCCCAAAATCTCCACAGAAAAACTAATTCAACTCATCAATCAATTCAGTAAAGTGGCAGGATACAAAATCAACACGCAAAAGTCAGTAGTCTTCCTATACACAAACAACAAATCTGAAGAAGAAGAAATCAAAAAAACCATCCCTTTTATTATCGAAACAAAAAAAATCAAATATTTGGGAATAAATCTAACAAAAGAGGTAAAGGACCTATACAAAGAAAACTATAAAACACTGTTAAAAGAAATAGAAGAAGACACAAAGAAATGGAAAGACATCCCCTGCTCATGGATTGGAAGAATAAACATTATTAAAATGGCCATCCTACCAAAAGCAATATACAGATTCAATGCTATTCCAATCAAAATTTCAATGTCATTCTTCAAAGAAATAGAACAATTATTGATGAAATTCATATGGAATCACCAAAAACCCCGAATAGCCAAAGCTCTCCTGAAAAAAAAAGAAGGGAATGGAGGCATCACACTCCCAGACTTCAAACTCTACTACAAAGCCATAATCATCAAAACTGCATGGTATTGGAACAAGAACAGACATACAGACCAATGGAATCGAATAGAAAATCCAGAAATAAACCCACAGATTTATGGTCAACTAATCTTTGACAAAGGAGCAAAGACTATGCATTGGAGCAAAGAAAGTTTGTTCAATAAATGGTGCTGGGAAAACTGGGTCGCTACATGCAAAAGAATGAAGCTTGACCACTACCTCACACCATACACAAAAATCAACTCAAAATGGATTAAAGAACTAGACACAAGACCTGAAACCATAAAATACATAGAAGGAAATATAGGCGAAACACTATGGGATTTGCACATCAAAGACATCTTTACAGACACATCACCCAAAGCAGTGATAGTGAAGGCAAAGATAAACAGCTGGGACTACATCAAATTAAAGAGCTTCTGCACAGCAAAAGAGACAATAACAAAAACAAAGAGAAACCCCACCAACTGGGAGAACATTTTTGCACCCAACACTAATGATAAAGGACTGATCACAAAAATCTGCAAAGAGCTGATGAGACTCAGCAACAACAAAGAAAATAATCCAGTCAAAAAATGGGCAGAAGAGCTAAAAAGAAACTTCTCTGAAGAGGAAATGCAAATGGCCAACAGACATATGAAAAAATGTTCAACATCACTTGTCATCAGGGAAATGCAAATCAAAACTACCATGAGATACCATCTCACACCAGTGAGAATGGCACATATTAAAAAAACTAGCAACAACAAATGTTGGCGAGGGTGTGGAGAAAAAGGAACTCTTCTGCACTGTTGGTGGGAGTGCAAACTGGTCCAACCACTATGGAAAGCTGTGTGGAGATTTCTGGACCTACTAAACAGAGCTTCCATATGATCCAGCAATTCCACTCCTAGGTATTTACCCAAAGGACACAGAAACATCAATTCCAAAGAACACCTGCACCCCTATGTTTATAGCAGCACTGTTTACAATAGCTAAGCTTTGGAAACAACCCAAATGCCCAAAAATAGATGACTGGATCAAGAAGATGTGGTACATATATACCATGGAATATTACTCAGCATTCAAAAAAGATAAACACATGCAATTTGCAGCAACATGGATGGCGCTGGAAGGGATCATGCTCAGTGAAATAAGCCAAAAAGAAAAAGAAAAATACCGGATGGTCTCACTCATAGCAGGAATCTAGAAAACTTAAATAAGGGACCAGGAAAATGAATATAAGAAAGTGAAAATCAAAATCAACAAAAAACTATGAACCAGAGACACTTTTTGGGGGGTGGGGGGCGGGAAGGGAAGGATTGGGGTCAGAATGGGGCTTTTGCAATTGTATAGGGGAATATAAAAATAAAATTTATTATTTAAAAAAAAATATATGTAATCAAATACAAAAAAAAAATTAATTATGTTTCAAAAGGGCTTTGAGGACAAAGGATGATTTAATGAGATTGATTAAAGAGGTTTGGGGGATCCAGCTAAGACTTCACACCCAACTGTTTGAAAAGAAACTAAGTTAGGGCATTATTTCCTACCACGTATATGAGAATGATTTTAGCCAATGTGCTTACTGCAAGAGTCATGAAAACCTATTGCAAACATGTGATAGGATATTTTAAAGTAACTTTAATAGATAGTGCAAAATATTAAAATATAAAGCTAGGAAACACAGACATCCAATTAAATTTCAATGAGAAAGTTTTCAAACATTTCAGTTTTTTAACTTTTAAGCACTATGATATGTTATGAAAATTACATTTTGAAACTATGTGTTTATTTTGTGGGGTTTTTTTCCCCAATTTACTCTCATTCCAATATGTTTCTTTTATTGTCACTTATTACAGGATGTTCTTTCACCTGTTTTTAAGTTCTAGCGGTTACATGTAACTCATTAAATTATGGGAATTTTAGAAAGAAGAAATGTTGTCTCGAGACACTCTTAACAATGCTCAAGGCCACAATGCTCACCCCTCACTTACATATATACCCAACTTTTTGTCCTTGTCTTCCTTTAACAGCCCTTAATTTGTCTTCATGTGTGTAGGGTAAGGTAAAAGTATCAGTCTTTTCTGCCCTCCCGCCATTAGGATAGATGAGGGAACCCTGTGATCCTGAATGCATGCCTGATGGCGGGCACCTGGAGTGGGTACACCTGGGTTGAGAGACTGAGTTTATAAGGGCGGCATCACGGGGACACCAGCAGAAGCCAAGAGAACGCTGGAGAGCCCAGAAAGAGTGAAGACTTGCTGGGGGCTGGGAGGCCTGCCAGCCTCCTGGCCGCCCAGCACCCCTGCCTGCCATGTGCCTGGTAAATCTAAATAAAAACCTGCAAAAGCCACTGAGGACTCTGACTCTTCCTTTACCCGGTCTGCTGGATCAGAAAACCTGCACTGTGGCCCTTCTGACCTTACAATGTGTTTTCCTACTTCAATTAAACGTTTCCCCTTTTTTAGCAGATAAAAATGAGACTGTTATGTTTTAGCTTATTCTCTAAACTATTTCTGTTCTGGTGTCCACCTATGCCACTGCTCTTTCCTGGTCCCATACCCCTTGTAAGGAAAGACTTCTTTCTTACTCATTTTAATGGATGAAGACATCTGACTATATTGTATCTTCTGGTCTAATTATGCCTGAAAATTAACATGTTAGTTACACACATTATTTGATTATAAATTAATTTATTTTAATATCTACTTTGTTTTACATTTAAAACAATGTTAATTTGATTGTACTAAAATAAACATAAAACTGCACCTTAAATTGTGCTTTAAAATGTACAATTTAGTAGTATTAATTATATGTACACTGTTCAAAAAAACCTGCTTACCCTGCCATTTATTGTGCATGCATATCACCTGATTTAAAATTAATAGGAACTAGTCTCTTACTAATTTAGGAATACTATTCCTTTGGCCCTTAACAAAAACAAACTGTTAAAGGAGAATAACAATCCTGCCTTTAGCCCTTTCCAGGGAAGCTAGATTTCCACACTGGAGACTGGAATTCCCTGCCCTGCTCCCTTGCAGAGGATTTAGTGTTTCTCCTATAGGACTACTACTTACCTCAAGATCTAGTCTCAGGTAACCCTGCCAGGTTCTATTAGAAACACCCAACTGATGACCAGAGGGAGCAATTGTCTTTTCTTCAAAGATAGCTGAGCTGCTCCCATATGTTGGTCATTTAAATTCCGAGCAAAGCTTTTGTTCTTGCCAATTCAGGGATAAAACTCAAAAAACCCTAATGTCAGGTAACATACCACCTACCAATACCCCTGCAGGTTTTATGTATAACACTTAGAGGGAGAACATTTTTAAGAGGCTCTCTATGTGTGAGGAATTAACTAAGAAGGCTCTTTCTTTGAAGTGGCCTAAGTGGGGCAGTTATGAATTACCAAAATTAGTTTGAGTGCACAGCTAGAATGAGCGAGCTCAAAAATTAAATAGGTAGATGTAAGGGGCAGGACTGGACACGGTGCAGGTTTTCGAATATCCAGCAGACCGGCTAAAGGAGGAGTCAGGGTCCTCAGTGGTTTTTTTGCAGGTCTTTTTATAGGGATTTAGCAGGTACATGGCAGGCAGGAGTGCTGGGGGGCCGGGAGGCTGGCAGTCCTCCCAGCCCCCAGCAAATCTTCACTCTATCTGGGCTCTCCACCGTTCTCTGCTTCTCTCTCGGCTTCTGTTCATTCTCGGCTTCTCTTTCGGCTTCTCCTGCTCTTCTCGGCTTCTGCTGGCGTCCCCGTGACACCGCCCTTAAAAGCCCAGTCTTAGCTCAGGTGAATCCCATCTACCTATGCCCACACCCTACTCCAGGTGCCCGCCATCAGGCATGCATTCAGGACCGCAAGGATCCATCATCTATCCTGATGGCAGGAGGGCAGAAAAGCCTGACATTTTTCCTTACCCTACAGTAGAGTAGGAAAATTATTCCAATTGGTACCTAGTAACTTCTAAGAGGAAATGACAAGGCCACGTCTGTGTAAGACACAAATTGTTGGATGCCCTTACTGATAGTAAAATAAAAAAAAAATTAAAAACTCCAGAAAGGTAAACTTACCTTTAACAATTTGTAAGTCAGTATCACTCTTCTGGATATTTTCCTGTTGTCCTGTATTCCATTAACACACGTATTCATTTGTGCCATTTGAAGAATGATTTGGGCTATAAAAGATTAAAAACATAGGCATTCATCCTCTGATTAAAATCAAAATATCAGGAAAGTCAGACATCTAGGAATATTTTGTCCCCTAAAAGTACTCTGCTCTTAACACTGATACAATAAATATAAATGTGTCCAACAGGGCTTCTCTGGTGGTGCAGGGGTTAAAGTCTCACCTATCAAGCTATGGCCAGCCACTGCAGCCTGAGTTCTTTCCCAGGCCAGAGAGCTGACCCACATGGTGCCTGCTGCTCCCCTCAGCAGTGTATTTCAGTAGATCTGCCTGTTCTGCTCCCCACTCTGTCTCTGGTGAATCCTCTCACCACCCCCAACACCTGTGGCCTACATCCCAGTTCTTGTACACATAAATAAATAAATCTTAAAATGTGTCCAACAACTCTTTGGAATCCTCTATCAAAGAGGCCATCTCCTGGATCCTCCAAATAAAATCAAAACAATATATCTAGAAACCTGAACACATCTGTTTTTTTTTTTATTACAGTCATGCATTATCTGTGGAATGATAAATTCAAGAAATACAAATACAGGCTCAAAAATGAGCTCTAAGTTAACTTTTATTGTCTTTATCTGCTTCTCAGGGAAGCATAATACTGTTATCTGAAAGCAAGAAAGGAAGAAAAAATAAGCTAGAGAAAAAGGAAAGAGTCTATTGAGATGTAAATAAAAAGAAAAAAAAAAAAGGTGTGGACCTCTGGTTCCAGGTTTAAAGCAACTTTACTTGCATTACAAATCACATAAAAATTAAGTATACCTCATTGTCTTTGGCAATGGCAAAAGCTTATGTCAGGGTCAATTACATTAACAATGAGAAAGGAAAGTTAAAGCAGTACTACATGTCAATTATTCACCTGCAGATCTATATCCCCTTTTAAAGGGAAACTTTGAAGACCACAACTCAACAGCAACCATCTTCTATAAGACAGGATTTCACCTCACCCACTGCTGGATGAGGAATAGGCACCTCACACAAATGTAGACCATCTCTTGACATTCACAGTGATCTCTCATCAGCCCAGCAATAAAAAGAAGCAAGGTGAAACAAATCTCAGGAATCAATCTGAAAGGGAAACCCTGGAGAAATGCAACCAACAAGCAGTGGGAATCGAGAACAAAAAAGATGCTAAAGAGTGACAGAACATGAGCCCAGCGACATTCACTATATCATGCGGAGTCCTAGCAGGAAACAGAAGACACAGCTGCTTCAAAGGAAGGGACTTTAATAGGCTGATTTACAGAAGTGTAGGCAGGGTTAAAAGAACAAAGAAAGGACTCTAAGGTCACCCAGAGAAGTAAAAAGAAGCCATTACTACTCTGGGCCTTATGAGACAGGATATAGAAACTGTGTTACTGAAGCCCAGTGAGACATGGAAATGTGGAAGAGGGCCTCTTAGTGGGAGCTACAGGCATAGACATATATAAGGATATAGAGAATGCCAGAGATGAGCAGTTGAGGAAGGAGGGAAAGGGGAACAAATGTCCTACCTCCTGCTCTCTTCTTGCCCTCTGGTGACTTAATGATTAGCCAGACGCAATAGGAAGCCAGCCATCGTGAGAGCTCTGGTATGTATCATTCTCCCACAGCATAAAAAAGAGAAAGGAAAGTGAGTTCATCTAGAGACCAAACAGACCAACCAGAAAGACACATACAGGCCAAAGTCATGAAATATCTGTGGAAATCTAGTAGAAACAATATAATTGTCCAAAAAGTAGCAAATGACTTAAGAGAAAGGTGGGGAGAGCAGCCAGTCCCTAGCACTGCCTTGGTTCTGATGCCTTTCTGGCCCTTCTTCCATCACCAGGGATCAATACAACATCCCATCCCACCACCCACAATTTGAGTCCCCCTGAATGGGCCTCTCTTCCTTGCAACCAAAAAGTCTATACACCATATAAAGGAAACAAACACTTCTTCATCTCACTGTTTCCACTTAAAGGACTCTTCTGATAATAATAAGAATGTGTACAACTATAGGAAAATAGAGGGAATAGTTACAAAGTAAAAGGAGATGAGAAAGCCCACCCAAAATTTACACAATGCCTTGTCTTTGGTAGTAAAGTTCCAAAGAAGACTTAAATGAATGGAATCTACTTGAAATAATGATAATAGTAATAATGCTAACATAGTGTTTTCACTATAATCTGAGTTTCTATTACATTTGAAATAAACCATGTTTATAAAATCTTACAAGTTGATGAAAAACGATACCATGTTTATGAATTCCTTTGTATATACATACCTACTAGATTACATTTTAACTATAACCAATAAATGAATGATCCTCAACCCTGGTTATATATGGGAATTGTCTAGAGAGCTTTTAAAAGATTAAAAAAAAAATTTTGTCTGGCCCCATTCCAGCCAAATCAAAATTTCAAAATGTAGGCCTTAGCACAGTAATGCCCTACCTACTATAATATATTATAGTATATTATATTCTAAATTTAGAAAAGAGCTTAGAGATCATTTAAAACAATTTTATCATTCAGAAATTAAGGCAGAGTGAGTCCTGTACCTCTGCTTGGTCAATCATAATGACACTTAGAGATGGAGTCTGGCCTAGAATCCGAAAGTCTTAGCATCCATTCAGGGTCATTACCCTGACTCATTCATTTGTTAATAGATTTATTAGAAAATATTTTTAGGGGGCCTCCCTTGGTGGCACAGCGGTTGAGCGCTGGGCTGCAAGGCTGCCTGCAGCCTCTGCAGTGGCAGTTAGTTTCCCGGCTGCCAGCGAGGGTTCCACAAAAAAAAAAAAAAAGAAAAAAGAAAATATTTTTAGCTTCTATAGGATGAGTACTAGATAATAACACCTGTCATTATGGAACATTCTTGCAAACAACAACCCATCAATTGGTGAAGCAATCAACATACATTGAAATACTATTCAACAATATAAAGGTACAAATTACAGATATAATCAACAAAATGGATGAATCTCAAAAACAATACACCTAAATCAAAGAAGCCAGATGCAAAAGACCATTTATTATAGTATTACATTTATATGAAATATTCAGAAAGGGCAAATTTGCAGTGACAGAAGGTAGATTATTGGCTTTCTAGGGATAGGAAGAGGAGCAGGAATTGATTGAGAATGGCAGGAAGTATTTTTTATAGGGTGATGGAAATGTTCTAAAACTGGATTGTGGTAATGGTTGCACAACTCTTTAAACTTACTAAAAATCAACATGTTGTACGCTTAAAATGGATGGATTTTATGGTATATAAATATATCTTGACAAAGCTTTAAAAAATGTTTACATGCAAACATTATTGAAGACATTAACAAGCATTTATAGTAGGATTTAAATAACACTGCCGGCTAACTAATATAAAGAATGTTTAACACATAATTTATAAAAAATGATAAAATAGGGCCTCCTCTGGTGGCGCAGCAGTTGGGCGCTGGGCTGTGAAGCTGCCCGCAGCCTCTGCAGCGCCGGTTCTATCCCCCGCTGCTGGTGAGGGTCCCACATGGTGCGACAGACCTCTCCTGTCACACCCGCTGCTCCTCTCAGCAGTGTATTTCGTCAGTCTGCCTGTGTTCTTCCCCACTCTGGCTCGGGTGAATTCTCTCACCCTCCCGCGCTTCTGACTGTACCCAGTGCTTGTATAAATAAATAAATAAATCTTTAAAAAAAAAAAAAAATCATTAAAAATTCCAAACACCAATACTTATTGACCTGACATTTCTTGCAAAATCCACTATCAGTTTTTTAATTATTTCACCAAAAATATTGTCACATATTCAAACTACAAATATATGTTTTATTTCTATGCAACTGTGCAGAAAAGTTGTTCATACTACTCACATATTATTCACATATTATTCTGGCATGACTGTTAGCTAGTATTTTTGCTTACATGAAATAGTCAAAACACAAATGAAACATTGAAGATATATGCTAGTTCACTTGTTCTTTTCAATGTTGTAAGCAACTATGCTGAAACCATGGTCACTTTCCAATATTGAAAGAATATTTCCTCAAGTTTGGGGGGTAGAGGAACTATTGCCAATGTGACAAACATAAATATGAAAAAAAAAATTTAGTTCAATCCTCATTAACATTTTTGCTATCACTTTCTTAAGTCTGGAGACAACCAACAATAAGTCAAGCCCAGCTAGCATTGAAATTGACAATTTCAAAAGTATAAACACATGTACCATGGCCGGTTTCAAGCTACCAATATCACTGAATGCAGAATTAGGAAAGATGGCCAGCATCACACAACTATCTAGTATTACCGCATACAGCTACAATTGCCATAAATATAAAAGCCTAGCTAACAGTTAAAAAGTGATGAGTTTTGAGCCATGTATAATGGCTAAATATAATTTAAACATAAGTTAATTGTAAGTTTATGTGACTTAATTTTTAATAATGGTAATATTTTACTTCCAATTCATTCCATTCCTGAAATTTTAACAGTGGGCTCTGTCAACCAGCCTAGCACACCATTGCCTGCCCATCTTACCAATGAGAAAACTGAGCTTCAGACAGGCTGTCTTCAGCTAGCTCTCATCATACAGGACAGTGTTACATAAGTCTGTCTAATTCCATATATTCTCTCCACGCCTCCAGTTCAAAATGTAGCTGGTGGCTTACCTACATGCCAACGCCAAACATCTTCATTGAACATACTTATCATAGGTACGCAAAGCTTTCCTTTCCAATAGATGGAATGAGAAACCTGACTAGGAGAAAAGGAATAAAAAAACGGAAAGAGAACATCTGCTTGACAGTTTTGTTAAGACATGGCAGGACCTATTCCCCCTGAGATTTGGCCAAATCAAAATTTAGCGAACAGCAGTTTTCCAATAGGTAGAAATAATTTTTTCCCAAATAAGCCAATTTTTTTCTCACATTTCTCACATTTAAGTGTATTTGATGAAAATGTGATTTCAGACCTACCTCTGACGTCATGTATTTAAAATCCAAGTAAGTTTCCAAGAGGAAAAAAAATTATCAAAAATAAATCAATTAGCTGGCACACAAATAACAACTTGACCCCAAGTCAGGCCCACTTCTTCTATCTACTATTATCAGCGGGACGAACTCTACCCTCACCGACCGCTAACCAGGCCTCCTCTGCCTTCACCAACTTGTAGAGCCAGGTTGTGACATCACTGCATCCCAACTGCACGTCTCCCATTACAGGTTGTTTGGGGCAAAACATCGTTAACATTAACGTCCTAAGACGAAAAGTCCTAAGATTGCTCAGGAACAATCTTAACTTACATAGTGTAATTCCAGCAAAAAGTGCTTTGAAACGTTTGAGACTCATTATACCGCAGCAAATAAGCGCGGACTCGCAGCCTGCGGAACACGCGACAGCACCGCCCCCGCCGCGCCTGCGCAGTGCGTCGGGCGGGCTTCCGGAGAGGCGCCGGCACCGCGACGCTCACGCGCGCGCCAAGAGCCGCGCAGGCGCAGTCAGAGGCCTTTCGCGGCGACGCCTCCTTTTCCTCTCGCGCGTCCTGGGTCCTTGTTTGCCAAGTGCCGTTGGGCCAGACCGGTGCGGAAGGTCTGGGGTCGCGGACCCCCGCCAGGTCAGGGCAGCACGGAGGTGCAGGGTGTCACCGCCGCCGAGGGCGCGGGGCCGGGCGCCGCCAGCGGCGCGCTCCGCCCTGGGGCCCCCGCCCCTGCTGCGGGCGCGGCCCTGGCGCCGGCCGCGATCCCGGCCGCGACGTCGCAGTTCACCCTCCTGGTGATGCGCCCCTGCGGGGGCCCGGACGAGGCTGCGGCGGAGGGCGTCCTGAGGCAGGCTCCAGCCCTGGGGGGCGGCACCGGGCCGGGCAAGCCTGTTACGTACCTGTGTGAAGTGGCGGGCGATGGCGAAGAGGAGGCGGGGGACGATGAAGCAGACCTGTTGGACACTTCCGACCCTCCCGGGGGAGGCGAGAGCGCGGCTAGTTTGGAAGACCTGGAGGACGAGGAGACTCACTCCGGGGGCGAGAGCGGCAGCGGGGGAACGCGGAGACGGGGCAGTGTCGGGGGCTGCATGAGCAAGACCTGCACCTACGAGGGCTGCAGCGAGACCACGAGCCAGGTGGCCAAGCAGCGCAAGCCGTGGATGTGCAAGAAGCATCGCAACAAGATGTACAAGGACAAGTACAAAAAGAAGAAAAGCGACCAGGCTCAGAATTGCGGCGGGGCCGCCCCTGCTGGCAGCACTGGAAACGTCAAACTGGAGGTATGGGACCTTAACCTGGGTCTTGGGGAGTGGGAGGTGGAAGAAGCAGACCCGTACTTACAGCAGACCTCACTTCCGGGTCTGCCCACCTGCTTCCAACTAGGCCAGGTTGTTATGGCTGGACCTGTGACAGAGTGAGTGAGTGCCTGCCCGAAATTACGTTTCTACAGATGTGTGCAAAGCCTTAACAAGTTCTGTTGCGTCCTTGTGATAAATGAATGCATCTCATCGAAAATGAGGTGACAAGTCAGCAGAGCTCTCAGTTCGGAGATCTGGGATATGAACAGATAAATGAGTGACCTGATTCATCACTAAAGGATGAGGCAAGGGACACTTAGGAACCTAGATACACAATTGGTACTTTGGAGAAGGTAATCTCTTCCTCTTACCACTACCCTATTCTCAGTATCCTGTTTTTTAATATCCTGTTATTAGTGCCGTGTTCTTAGTTCCTCTGTGCTTAATAGTCCTAGTGTACTGTTAATCCTAGTCATAAAACCAACCCTCTTAGCACTCTAATTGTCAGTATGCCTTTTCTTATACCCTTAGGAAAATAATTGAATAACAGTGGGGTGCAAATCAGAAGATTGTAGATTTGATATTAACTGTGTGGAAGGTTAAAGCCAGTACTGTGGATTTGGGCTTCTGGTTGCAAATCCTCCATCCATCATATGCTGATTGTGGCCTTGAACAAGTTATTAAATTCCCTAAGATTCAACTTCTTCATCTATAAAACAGATATTACAATAGTATCTAATTTTAATTGCTGTAAATATGTGAGATATTCCATACTGAATGATCACAGTGCCCAACAGGTAGTAAAAGTCAACAAATCTTGGCCACCATTATTGCTGTTAGTAGTAGTATACTTTGAGGTTGTTACAAATTAGCAGATATTATATCATATGTGTTTTTCTCCTTTTAAGAAAAGAAGTAGTTCCTCGGTGCAGAGAAAAAAAATGTGTATTGGTAAAAGTGATCCAGAAAATAAATTTGAAAACCAAAAGCTGTCCTGGGTTGCATTTAAAAGTATTTAAATTTCTTGGTTTTAGGCTGTACTTAACAGCTGCCTCATTACTGACATTTTAAATGTTCTGTTTATATACTTAATGTTCCTGAGCTGTAGTCACCAACCTGTCACACTTAATCCACAGATTAGCGTCTGAGTGAGAGACCTTTCACTTTCATCCCACTGAGTGTTTAGCTGTTTTAGAGATATTTAGATCATGATAGTTGGATTAATAGTGGTCACAGGGGTCATCTGCCTTGGCATGAGAAGATTAGAAATTAAGTTAATTTAAAAATCAGTTCTTACACAGATCAAAGTTAAATAGGAACAAATGTATGTAATATTTAGTCCATTTATCTAAAAATTGTGCTATATGGAGACACATAATGGAACTAGAAATAAAAAATTGACCTATGGGATTGTGATCCTTCTCATTAACTATCTTAAAGGCTATTATTTGGAAGAAGCTGTAGATTTATTTTGTATAGTTCTCAACTAACTGGTAGTCTTAGGTGAAAATCACAGGGATGTATGTAATTCATCTCAACCTAAGTAAGCTACCTAAATGTTCAAGCTATTCAAATAGCAAACAGGATGTGTCAAAAGCTGGTAAATAAACTCTAGGACAAAAAATGTTGGAAATTTTTGAAAAGGGAAATCTAACATTTGTAGAAGTTTGCATTAGATGACTCAGGGTTTTTTCCGGTACTGTACACATATGGTCTTATAAATAAAGTTAGCCTTGTGGAGAGAAGGAGGAAGAGATTGTTTTTGTTTTTTCTGAGCATTAGAATCCTCTTTTACAGTTTATTACCTTTTGAGGTCTAAAATGTTTAGAAATTGAATTTTAACCATCAGATTGATAAGCTTCGTGTAATGAAAGAGAAAGACAGAGGATATTCTAATACACAACTCAGAGGTTAGTAGAGAAGAGACCAAGATTATTTGATAACCTGAATGAAGGGCAAAGAAATACAAGTAAATTCATGTGAGGCATGGCTTCATGGGAAACACTTATAATTTTGTATTTGTTTAGTTAGAATTTTTGGATATGCTAAATATTGCATCATGGTTTTATCAGTTAGGATGTTTCAATTAGCTGCAATATTTTGTTAAGCCAATCTTAAGTTTAAATATTTAAGATTCTACCTGGTAACTGGGAATACTGCTCATTTTGTTTGGGTAAAGTTATGTTTATGATATGCTGTCATTTTAGACTATACCAGTGGTAGATTATTTATAGTAGTGCTTTCCAGTCTTTTCAAAGAAAGTTTTGTCATATTTCTCCTGGTGACTTACAAATTTTGAAAGCTCTGTCTATCAGGTGTTTCTTTTACTGCCTCCCTATTTTGTTGTTAAATGAGACAGTAAGTTAGCAGAGTGTCTCATTATCTTTATATCACTTGCCTTTGAATTCATATGTTCCATCCAAAGGCAGGCATTGTTTTGGACCTGGTTATTAGCTTTATATGAGGAGTATGTGCAATTTCCATTAGACTTTTTTTTATAATAATTGAAATAGTTCACATGTAACTCTGTTTCTCACCCCCACCTGTGCACCACTGTATTGAAACCTCTCAAGAAACTAAAGATCTTAGACTGAAAATTCTGAAGGGAAGGAAATGAGGAGATTAATATAAAATTAAATGCCAACATCTTGCCCATAGGGACTAGACATGGTGAAAGAGAAGCAGAGATTTGTTTTTTATATCATTAAAAAACCAATAATCCTGTTATTCATATTATGACTGATTATGTTAACTGTTAATCATATTATGTTAATTGTTAAATCTATTTGTATTTTTATTCTAGGAAAGTGCAGATAACATACTCTCTATTGTTAAACAAAGATCAGGATCTTTTGGAGATCGACCAGCAAGACCTACTCTTTTAGAACAAGTATTAAATCAAAAAAGATTGGTAAATATCATTTGTAAAATAGTGACAAATCTGTTAACAAAAATTGTTTGTTATAAATGGAACTCTTGAGATTTTTAAAACTGGTTATCAGAATTAATTGTGCCTCTGTCAGCACACACTGGAATCTTATACTGCTCTATTAAGACTGGACGGGCACATTTTTAATCCTATGTCTTCATTACTTGTACATACCTTGTACATCTAAATGAGATATGATTTTAAAACAGAATCTCCTTGTACTGAATTCTGGGATTTCATAACCTAAATAGACTATTGTACATTTACTTAATAGAAAATTGGACAGTCTTTATAAATAAGTTTTTAACAAAACTACTTAATAAATAGCAAATAGGCTATGCTATAATGTTAAATTTTAAAATCAATATTTAATCATGGTATTTCCACTGTATTTTTTTTAATTTATTGGGACAAAGTTGTTTTTTTTTCCTTTCATCTACTAATGTAAGAACTTTGTTATAGTAAAACATTAACATAATCTGTTATATTTATTGTATGACTATAACTATATTTAAAAATGGTAATACAAGCAAATGATTTTAGATCAGCTGCATTTGTCTCTGAAAATTTGGTAATATGCTAATATTGCTTTTAATATATGTGTACCTACATCTACACTCACATAACTATGTATACATACACACAGACATACAATTTTAAATTTCTTTTTTTTTTTAATGTATTTTTTATTTATTTATTTGTTTGTTTGTTTGTTTACACATGCACTGGGTACAGTCAGAAGCGCGGGAGGGTGAGAGAATTCACCAGAGCCAGAGCGGGGAGCAGAGCAGGCAGAAGGACTGAAGCACACTGCTGAGGGGAGCAGCGGGCGGCAGGAGAGGTCTGCGCGCCATGTGGGACCCTCCTCCGATGGCCGGGGAGCAGCCGGGTATCGAACCAGCGCCGCAGAGGCTGCGGGCAGCTTTGCAACCCAGCGCTCAACCGCTGCGCCACCGGGGAGGCCCACAATTTTAAATTTCTTAACAAAGAGTGAGTCAGCTAGTAGGAGAAACTTAAGTTCCAGTACTAGTCATAAATACATTGCCAAACTGGCATTTAACTACCATTTTCATATGTGGCCCCCTTTCATTTTCTTTTTTTCTTGCTATAGACCTGGGCCCATGTTAAACTTGCTCTTTGTTCTTCTATGTTTCATGGAGAGTATATATGTTGGTATAACATACAAAGTATTTCCTTCATGTGCCAAGTCATCATTAAGATCAAGCTTTCCCATTATTTTTAGGTTTCAGTGTTTTGATTTGTGATATCAAGTTTTATTACTTTGAGTTTGAAGTTTAATTGATGTACAACACATGCAAATATGAGTGTTGTTTTGCAAGCATATTGTATCTTGTGTGGGGATACATTAGAGTAATTTCATAGCATGAATACAATATTTTCTATTTAAAATCCAAGATAATTGATATTAATATGGTTTTTCTTTTTTCTTTTCAAGTCATTATTAAGAAGTCCAGAAGTGGTGCAGTTTTTACAAAAGCAGCAACAGCTATTAAATCAGCAAGTTTTGGAACAGAGACAGCAGCAGTTTCCAGGAACATCAGTATAAGGGAATTTATCAAAAGGATCTACATGCTTTTTATCTTATTGTAGTATATGAACATATTTTTATACTAAAGATAAATGGGGTAAGATGTGCCGGTAGAACATAATCAGTCATTTTCCTGTACATGTATATGTGCATTTGGGGATAAATAAGTATTGCACTTTGTGCATCTACTCCTTTCAGATCACCATAAATTTTAAGAAATCAGCTTATCTTTCCAAAATAGCATTTAATTACAATGTTTTTAAAAAATGTTCTTCAGTCATAGTTACTGAAGGTAATGAAGCAGTTACTTTCTGTGGAAGTCCAGAAGTTAATAGATATTAATCTTTGATCATCTAGTTCAGTGGCTCTGTTCTCATCAAGGGGGTTTAAATGTATAAGTATGTTTTTGATTGTCACAATAACCTTAGAAACTGATGGCTTTTAATGAATGGAGCAGGAATACAAAATGTTCTGCAGTATCTGGAATGTTCTTACACAACTAAGAGTTGTCCACAGTGCCAGCTATAGTCCACTGAAGAAACACTGATAGCTACTTGTGGTTATAAAATGTAGCTGGGCATTGGGTTCTTTTAAAAACCTAGAATTGGGTTCTTTTAATAACCTTTTATTTACAGTTAAGAGGAGCTATCAAAGAGGTAAGCATATTTTATATCTGTAAGGAAAGTGATCATTGTTAAATATATGTGAAATTAGGATGTGCATCTAACAGATGTTCTGGTAAAACCTAAGAAAGGGTTGAAGTATACTAGAATGAATGCATCTCCTAAAATTGGCTTCTCTGTTTCGCATTGCCTGTTAGTGTTGATCACTTTTGAAGTAGACACTCTTGTGTGTTAAATTTGTAAACTTGTATCTTATCCCACCAATATGAGGACAAAATTTTTTTGTGCTCATTTCTTTTTCAGAGAGATCCTGAAAATAAAAATAACATTGGAACATTTTGGTTATGTTTTCCAAAATTAAGTTATTTTAAGACCAAGTTATTCCTATGTAATGTTCAAGGAATGATGGGTAATCTAGATAGATTCTTTCACTTGTATTTCTTCCTAAGAAAACTCTAAAGAGGCAAAATTACCAATAAAAGTAACAAATCAAATGACAAGAGAGTATTTCCAGGGTTAGAACAATGAATACATATGTCTCAAGTTTAACTGTGCAAAAATTTGTTTATTGGTTTTTAAGGTTGGAAATATATAAGTAAAACATTTACAGCTGTTCTAAGTACCTAAGGGGGAAAAATAATCTTTTTGTTCAGGTTTTAATGTCTTATACCTGCATATCTGTGCAAAAGCACTTTTACCAAAATTATTCATTAAAGTTCTGTTGTTGAACTTTGAGTTGTTTTAGTCACTTATTCTTTTCTTTAGTTGCTTCACACTGAATGCAGAAAAATTCATTGTCATTTAGTAGTAATTCAGTGTCATTTACTTGAATGGTGGGGAAAAAATCAGCTTGTTTCTCAAAATGGAGCAGAAGGAGTAGCAAAGGAAGGAAAGTAATAAATCAGTGAGAGATGAATGAAAAGAAAAGGAGTTAATTTTTTTTTTTGAAGATTTATACAAGAATCAGGGTACAGTTCACATGTGCGGAAGGGTGAGAGGATTCACCAGAGACAGAGCAGGGAACAGAACAGGTAGACTGACTGAAAGACACTGCTGAGGGGAACAGCAGGCGAGACTAGAGAGGTCTGCCGCAACATTTGGATTGCTTCGCAGCTGGTGGAGATCAAACCGGCACTGCAGAGGCTGTGGATAGCTTCACAGCACTGCGCTCAACCACTTGCACCACCAGGGAGGCCCAGGAGTTAATTTTTTATATATAAGCAAAACAAGATTTTGGGGGAGAGGGTAGATTTGTTCCACTGTGCTCTCACCTTTTTTTTTTTTTTTTTAAATATTTATTTATACAAGAGCTGGGGTACAGGCCAAAGGTGCAGGAGGGTGAGAGGATTCATCAGGGACAGAGTGGAGAGCAGCAGGTGAGACGAGAGGTCTGCCGCGCCATGTGGGAATCTTCCTGGCCGGCCAGGAATCAAACCCATGCTGCAGAGGCTGCAGGCAGCTTCACAGTGCTGTGCTCAACCCACTGTGCCACTGTGGGGGCCCTGTACTCTCACTTTTTATCCCTCCATGTATTCATGACTTTTGCATTGTGACTTTGCTACACCTCCCACCAAGAGGTTGAGTTTATTTACTCACTAAATCTGGAGGACTACCTTTGTGACTTGATTTGGCCAGTATAATATGCCCGTTTGAGGGACTGCCAAAGATTTTTAATACTTCCATTTGTTCTTTTAGAACCCTACCCAGCTACCATAGCAAAAATCCAGCCTAGCCTAATCTGCTGGATAATGGTCAGATGGACCAGCAACCTCTGTTTATCAGCCTGTAGCTGGTAAACATTTGATGAGGCTTCACCAAACTAGGTATATTCAAGCAGCCTGCAGACTGAACAGGTATATTGGATCCCAACTGTGATCAGGCAAGCCGTATGCAGATAGGCTGGACCCACCCAGCTCACCTATAGTATTTGTGAGCAATAATAATGCTTATAATTGAAAACCACAGGAGTTTTGGGGTGCTTTTTTTAATGCATTATTCTTGAGACAGTAGGTAACTAATATTCCTAATTATGTAGTTATTGCTGCATAACAAAGTACTCTAAAATGAAATGGCTTAAACTTAGAGTTCTGTATGTGGTTACTGTGGTTTTAAATAACTGCAGATGCTTTCAAACTGAAAGTGGCAGACTACACTTTCTAAAGAGGTGAAAAGTACCTGAATAAAATCTCCAACCTCACATAACTCTCATGCCATGCTGTTCATTAGGAAATGGATTTTAGGGCCTCCCTGGTGGTGCGGGCGGTTGAGTGCAGCACTGTGAAACTGTCTGCAGTCTCTGCAGTGCGGGTTTGATCCCAGCCTGCCACGGAGATACCCACATGGAGCAACAGACCTCTCCTGTCTCGCCCGCTGCTCCCCTCAGCAGTGTATTTTGGTCAGTCTGCCTATTCTGTTCCCCATTCTGTCTCTGGTGAATCCTCTCACCCTCCCATACATCTGGCCTGTACCCCAGTTCTTGTATAAATAAATACATCTTTAAAAAATTACTTTAAAAAACCTGGAATTTATTTTCCACTCCTTTGAATCTAGGCAGACCCTGTGACTGCTTTCACAGAATATGACAGAAGTAATGATGTTAGTCCATCTGAGGTTCTAGGTAAGGAGATACAAAAAATGCAAGTATTTGTTGTGCTAAGAATATAAAGGATATGGGCCTCCCTGGTGGCGCAAGGGGTTAAGCACAGTGCTGTGAAGCTATCCACAACCTCTGCAGCCCGAGTTCAATCCCCAGCCTGCCAGGGAGCAACTCACATGGTGCAGCAGATCTCTCCTGCCTCACCCGCTGCTCCCCTCAGCAGTGTATTTCAGTCAGGCTGCCTATTCTGCTCCCCACTCTGTTTTTGTTGAAGCCTCTCACCCCCCGCACCTCTGGTCTGTACCCCAGTTCTTGTATGCATAAATAAATGAATCTTTGGGGAAAAAAAGAATATAGAGGATTTATAGCTTCCATTTTCCAGCTAAATCAGAAAAGAAGTCATCTGTTAAATATGGAGTGGAAGAGTTGATGAAAGCTTTAGGAAAAAGTGGGCAATTAGAAAGATACATTGAAGTGGAAGAGAGAAGTGGCTAGTAGCTAGTAACCTGGATATATTTTTCCCTTTCTTTCATAGTAATGGAATTTTTGGTTGAGAATGTAGCGAGTTCACAATATAGCTAATTCTCACATAGTACATTAAAGAATCTGTTACCAGGCAAGGTGAGGGGCACTCCTGGACTCCCAAACCAATCTGCTCTAGATAGAATCTGCCATCTGCCACTTTAAGACAAAACGTACTCCAGTGTGTAAGACCTTTAATGGAAAGGAACTTTAACACAATTAGTGTGCAATGAAGAGAAGGGAAAGAATAGATAAAATAGTTTTCACGAAACTCCCAAAGTTACCCATCCCCTCAAGGGTAAATGCCCAGCCAAACAGGGCTGGCCCAAAACAGGCCTGCTAAGGCCCAAAACTTGCCTCAAGTCTAAGGCATCGCCTGGTGGGGATCCATAGGAAAGGGTCAGAAATGGCCAGACAAGTCTGGAAGGAAAAGAGCAAAATCAAGATAAACACTGCTATTGTCAGTCTCTCCATGGGTCTCTCAACCACGTCTGTTTCATGTATCTCCTTCCATGTCCCCCAAATCCCTGGTACAAGTCCAATGGCGAAAAGTAAGTTCAGCCTCTTCACATTCTGTTTCATGTACCTCTTCCAGGTCTCTTTTTTGATCTCCGTCCACTTCTAATTCTAGTCTATCCAGCTTCTCCCTGCTCAGCTCCACCCTTCCTTCAGTGGACAGGGAACCCCGAAACTCCTCTTTCCCTGGGGACTTTCCTATTATAATTCCAGACACGCATGAAGTATTGATGATTGTTTAAATAAAATACAAAAGTAGCTGAAGTAGGAGGAGGAGGGGATTGGAATGAGGCAGTAGGAGGCTTCTGGAGTTCTGGTGATACTTTCTTCTGTCTGCTGGTCATGCATGTATTCTATTTGCTCAGCGAGCTATGCATTTATAATTGTACTTTTAAATACATATTTTAATTTTAAAAATAGCTTGGATTTTTTTTTTTTTTTTAAAGTCTGTTTCTCAGCTACCCTTGCAGCTGGGTATGGCCATGTGAGAGTTCTGGCTAATGGAATATGAACAAAAGTTATAATACAACTTCCAGGTGCTGCCCTAAAAAAAAAAATTAGCGGACAGTCCGTTTCCCTTCTTCGTTCCTGCCATTTACAAGACAGCAGATCCATCTGTAGGCCAAAGGAGGATAATTCTCAGGGGAAAGTGGAACAATATAGAAGGACCCTGTGTCTTTGGATGGCCTTGAGCAGAATCATCATCCTAGCCTGTGACCCCTGTTTTTTGACCACTACATGAAATAGAAGGGGAATATCTTGTATCTGCCATAGCTATTATAATGTCTCTCACATCCAATCAAAACTATATCATAACACAGGTAAGGATTGATGGGTGGCATTAAAAAGTTAGCCTAGTGGAAACCAGGGAACTGTAATGGCAATCTGCAGATTTGTGACACTAATTTACAGGGCTCAGCCACCCAAAGTTGCAGGAAAGATAGACTGCTAACTTGGCCTGGGATTCATTTATGGAAGAAGAGGTTGAAAAAATTAGGATGCTTGGGAGAGGGTCCTCTTAGTAGAGTTCTGGTCATGCGGAGAAGTGAGGCCCACAGGAAATGGAGGTCACTATGATCTTGCACAGCAAGTGTAAGAAAAATGAGAGCATGAGATACTTAAACAAGGAAACTGTGGGCTCAAAGCCACATAATACTTTTCACAGTGGATTCATAACTGCCCTAAACTTTATAGTTTTACTCCATAAATCTGTATACAATATACATGTTGTAACCCAATAAAATTCTCTAAAATCCTTAGTTACAAGATCATCTCCAGGTTTCCACTTGACTATGATTTGGAGGGACTGAATAAACAAGTCTGAGAGTTTAATGACAGAAAAAAACACCCCGGGACAGTTCCCTTCAGGAAGAAACTCAGAGTGATTTGCTTCAGCTCATCAAACAGAAGTCGTAGAGTATTGTAAAAACTTGGCCCCAAAAGTGTTATAAAGGAAAGAAAACTAAGCTAAATGTTTTGCTTCAAGAGTAGTTATTCCAGGGCCTCCCTGGTGGCGCAGCGGTTGAGCACTGGGTTGCGAAGCTGCCTGCAGCCCATGCAGCACTGGTTCAATCCCCGGCCACCGGACAAGGTCCCACATAGCGTGCAGACCTCTCCTTCCACACTCGCTGCTCCCCTCAGCAGTATATTTCATCAGTCTGCCTGTTCTGCTCCCCGCTCTGGCTCCGGTGAATGATCTCTCCCTCCCGCGCTTCTGACTGTACCCAATACTTGTATAAATAAATAAATCTTAAAAAAAAAAAAGAGTAGTTATTCCAAACTACTAGGGATATAAAGGAAACAACCTGTCAGAAAGTCCTCAAAGAAGCTAAGCAATTTTAGTCCAAAATTATAAGTGGAGTATATCTAAAACTTTATTATGAATAAGCAAATAAAAAGGTTATTGATGGAAGCTAAGAGTAGAAAATTTGGGAAGGAGGCATCACAAGACCAGAAACTGGCTCACCCATGGCCAGAAACTGGAGGTAGGGGTAGAAATGATTCATTTACTCATTAAACAAGCTATAGAAAGGTAAAGTACTAGAAGACACAGACCAGAGGTGGAATATGGAGATTGAGGGCTATAAGAAATCACTGGCCCTTTCAAATCTACCCAGTCAAATCAAATATAGAAAAAATACTTAAGCGCCAACCCTAGAAATAATGTAATAGCAGTTAACAATCCCACAAGGAAGGAACCCCACCAAAGAGAAGACTGTATTAGTGCAATCTCTGCACTGGCAAGATGAAGCGATCCTGCCCCCTATGACTATGCAGGCCTGTCTACAAACCTGTCCCTTTGGGAGCAGCTCCTTCTGACCACTCGTGTCTGTGCAGACATCCTTGACTTTCCTTCCCCTTTTATAATAAACCCGTCCCTTTGAATATAACTTAACAGCTCTGCCTCGTGGAGAACTCACCTGGGGAACCTCGCCAACTGCTGCTCTAATGAGAGCGCTGATAAAATTTAACAGGAGTAACCTAAGGACCCTGCTCTCTGAATCCGGCACCTCTCCAAACCGACATTAATTATAACTAATGCTACCAAAATTTTTATACAAATATATATTTAATCATACATATACGTGTATATAAAGTTAGAAGTTGC